CAGGAATGCTCAAAGCACCTAAGTTAAGAAATAAAAATCATTAAAAAAATCAATCAGTGGAATACAGTATGCCTCATATAGCTGTTATATAGACTCTTCAGAGAGGAGGTCTCAGCTCCACACTCCTGCTGAGGAGGTATTCCTGGGGGATGTAAAGAGGTGTATGAAGGGGGGCTGATGGAAGAATGGCTGGGGCTTGGAATTCCCAGGCTGTGCAGCTGGCAGGGGATGGCTTCTGTGGGAGAGGGCTGGGCTGCCTGAACTGGGAGGTTTGGACACCCACAGCAGTAGAAATGGGATTTGCAATGGAAGCATTTCCCTAAAGATAGTGATGCTTAAAATGCTCAATGCTCTGAACATGGGGAAAAATAAATTGTGTCTGCATGTGTCCATGTTAAAAAATAAACCAGTCCCTGTAGATGCAATACCTGATTGGCACCTCTTTTAACAGCACTGTGGGAACACAAGGGCTGCAAAATTCATGGTCGTTTGTCAGTGATTTGCACAGATTTTCAAGAAGTAGCCAGCCTCACTGTGTGCACACAGGGTTTTAAAGCTGCATTTGCATAACCTAAGATGTAAATATACTGTGACCCGGCTGTGCTGGGACAGCTAAGAAGCACATTGGCTGTTCTGCCTAAAAAGACTGCCACCCAGGAGTGCTAAAATGCCCTAGAGATAGATGCAACATACATCCAAAACAGTCAAAGGTCTTTAACAATTAGGAGTAAGTGAAATGAAAGGCTGACTTGTACTTCACAAGTTCCCTGCTCATCTCCAGCATGGTTCAACTCCAGAACACACAGAGCTCTCTGACCCCAACCTAGAAAGATAATACTACATTATGCATGTAAATAATCACTAAAAGTTAAAAAATACTATCTGCTTAAAAGTAAGCCTGTTCTTAAAGACTTTGCTGGATAGAGTTAAAGCCCTAGAATCTAGTAAAGAAATAATGCTTTAAAATAATGTCTCTGTCTTACATTAATAATAATTTCCTGAATAATTTTGTCTTAAAAATTTTTAAGCTAAGGTGATAGTGTATTTTCAAGGCACCTCTTTCAAATGTCCTGGAATGTCTGTATATATATATATATATGTTTTCATGTGCTTTACTCTAGAGAAGTTGATAGAAATACCTTAGCTAAGTGAATTCATTATATATATATTAGCATACTTTTGTCATGGCTTTCCCTCAAAACATACAAGGATAATACAATTAGTGGCACTTCTCTTTAATGATGCCCTGAAGGAAAGTGTGACTAGTTACCAGTGCATAGGCTAGAAATACAACTTTTTAAACTAACAGAAATAAAGCCCAGAGGAAGAAGTAGACAGCACATTGTGCCTGTAGAAGGCAAAATGTACATCCCATCACTGCTCCCTTCTGTGTTAGCATAAGCTGGCATGCTGTCCAGTAAAGCTGCTGCTGCTCAGATACACCCAGCCTGAACAGCTACAGGTGTGCCCAGGCTACCTCAGGAAGTGGATGCTCATAGCAATGAAATGTTCCTGGTGGCTGCACATCATCTGACTGCAAGAAGACAAGCACAGACCTTGAAGGAGATGTTTTTTTTTTTTACTGGGACTATGTTTCCATAGAAAGATATGAAAAATGTGAGAGGTGTCTTAGATTCATCTTCAGATCAAAAATGGCATTTTTCACTGGGATAGCTCTTTGAAGTCGGCTGTGGATGAGAGTCTGGATTAGAACTGACACCTGTCACTGGAGGAAAGAATGTCCCATCTGTTTCATAAGCAAAGCAAAACAAATTCATCCTCTGAGTCTTCCTAAGGAACATAGTTAGCAACCAGTTAGTGGTTCTATGTCACCTACAATCCACTGATAAATTTTAGCTAGCTCTGTATTTCATAGCAGAACGAGTCTTCATTCCCTTAACACTAGACCAAATACTGTTTGCAAAGACACTAATAAAGCACAACTTTTGAAGAATCTCTCTTGGTGATTGGCAGGTGTCTTGGACAGAGGAGTGGTGTACTGTGAGACATCAGTTATTCTTTGGTCTCAGTAAGGAACTCACAGAGAATTTCTGAGGTAGCCATAAATGAGGGAAAGCCCCCCAGTGACATAAAAGCATAGCACCACATTCCATAAACCCTCTGAGGTTCCAGAGCACTGGTCTTCCCCTCCTCTGTGTGCAGCCAAACTCCTGGACTTGACACGTGATTTTTGTAGAATTCTGGCCATCTTGATGCACCCATCAACCACACACAGAACAGGTTTATGGATTTCTCCTTCTCCACATCAGTGACGTCTAGTCTTAGGTAACAAAGACTGTTAATGTTACTGCACTTTAGTTACTACAAGTTCTTCATGCACACTTGGCAGCGGCTGACCCGTGTCCGAAGCTGTCCTGCTTTCAGTGTTTCTGAGGGAGGAGCACTGACAAACTGCTGCGACTGCTCCACGGTCGTCAGCCAGAAGCTGTATTTGTTTGCAAAGTAGTGGCAGGTTCCCCTGGCCCCGTTGCATTCGATGAATGGCGTAGCACGGAAATCCTCCAGGCACGACCCAGGTGAGACCAGGGACTGGCCCCCACCTTCTGCACCAGCCGCCGTGTGCTGAAACAGAGATGTCAGTACCAGTCAGTTCAGAGGGACAGAGGGGAGGGGAGTGGGAGTCCTCCAGCTCCACTGGTCAAAGGAGTAAAACGGGCAACCAAAATTATACCTTGGCTACCTCTATCTGTCTTTTGAGTTTGGGTCAGAGGTGAAGAAGCAAAGGAATGTACTTAGGCTGAAGATATAGGTCTGGTATAAGGAAAATCCACCTTTCCACTTGCAGGCTGGGAAAATCTGGAAACCATAATGCTGGCTAGACTTTTCTAACAAATTTACATTAATGAGCTTCTAGGAGAGTGCAGTGGAAAATGTTTTGCTTTTCCACTGAGAGTAGGGATTAAGATGATGCTGTAGCTCACTCAGTGTTTCCACATTTAAAGGTTTGAAGAACAAAGAATATCTGTGGCAGTACAGAACTACTGCCAGTGTTACTACTGGACTTGAGCAGTACAGGGGAGATGGGTTCCAGCTCAACACAAACTCAGGAAGCCCACAGTCAGCCAGCTGATAAGAAATGCAAGAGGGCAAGAAGCTACAGGGCTCTAGTTTCCTGTAAGCAACTCAAAGAATACAGTCCCAGTCAACTCATGAAAGAGGAGATCTAGAGATGGTTAAAGCTGGTGCTGTGTTAGCAGTAGTATCCTTACCATAAGGAAGGAGTATCCTATCCACAGGCTGCGCCAGCCAAGGGGACACTGTGGGATGGTGATGTCCTGGCTGTGCACAGCCACAGCCTGGGAAGGGGCTTCACACACTGAGCAACGACTGATGTACTGGGGGATCTGAGCACTGTCCACGGGCATCATGGGGATGGGGGCAGTGGTGGAGAGCCAGTAGGACTTGTCGTTGCGGCTGGCGTAGTAGCACACTTCATTGATGTTGCAGTAAATAAAGGGCATGGTGCTGAAGCGAGGCAAACAGGAGCCAGCAAAACCTGGGAACAGTGGAGAAGTGGTCATGCCAAGCACCTGCCCAACGCTCCAACCCACGCACACCAGACATGGAGCACGGCACAAATGACACTGCTCCCAGTGCACATTCTGGCCAGACTCCCACCACCTCTACTACCAGTGATGACAGCTCATCTGAAACGGGGTCTTGGCCTGCATTGTTCGTGTCAGAGAGAATGCTGCCAGCTCACCGAGATCCTGGTTGTGTGCCTTCTCCTGCCCCTCCACGTACAACAAGCTGTAGCCATCCCACAGCTTATTCATTCCTATGGGACAAGGTGGGATCTGGTCTGACTGACTGTGCTTCACCAAGGTGTATCCAACGCCCACGCTCCGACCGGGCTTGCCTGGCAACCAAAGGGAGCCTGTCTTCCCAGCAACACCTGGAAGACAGAAAAGGAGTCACTGGTACCGCTACGCAGCGTCGACACCAGCTGGCTCTGCACCTCATTTTGGCATTGCTGTCACTGTGTTTATGCCAGTCTTGTACAACGAAGAGCCCAGGTTCTGATAGTTGTTGTATGAATAACTAGATTTATCAGTTCCAAAAGCAGCCATTTCCCAGGAGCACTTACCCTTTTCCTACCTCACTGAGTTTTCTTTCTTTGCCCAACAACCCTGGTGCCAACGTGTTAGCACAAATCTCACAGTGCAATAATTCTGAGGATCTTAAAGTACTTAAATTCACTTTTGCTTAAAGCTCTTCATGATGGTATTCCATTGACAAAAAGGCAGAAAGTTGTACAACAAATCTGTGGCAGAATGCAAACCTCTCTCTCTCACTGTGCCT